CACCACTTGCGATAGGGAAAATTCAGTGCGCCGAAACAGTGCACGCACTCCAAACAACAAGCCCGGCTCGGGGCGTCACAGTCGTCGAAACGGGTAACAGAGAGAGACAGAGAGACAGAGAGACAGAGAGAGAGGGACAGAGTGAGAGAGAGAGAGAGAAAGAGACAGAGAGCGGGAACGTGCAGCTATATAAAAATGGGATGACCACACACACACTCTCGTGGCGCGCAGCAGCAGCAGCAGCAAAAAAGAAAAGCGGATTGACTGACTTGTCGTCGAAGGCGCGGCGCACTGTTCCAACGAATACTGCACACTCCCCCCCCCCACCCGTAAATTATCCCATCCATCAGTATGCAGCAGCAGCAGCAGCAGCAGCAGCAGGGCGCCCTCACTCTCCGCGCTGCCGGTCCCTTCACCCAGTTGCTCCTCCAACAACAGCAACCACTGCAACACTTCCAACATCAACCAAATCCCCCAACTTTGTCCGGCGGCGGCCAACACCAACAAGGCCAGCTTGTCAACCTCGTCTTTCAAGTCGCCGTGCCGGTCCACCACGCAATCCACCTGTTCGCGCCCCAGTTCCCCTGCCCTCCAACTGCCCCGCTCCACACCTTCAACCACGCCGGACAAGCCCCTCGTCCGCCCCAACCACCCGCCACACAAGAAGCAACAAAACCACCCACCGCCGCCGCCTCGCCGCTCAAGCCTCATCAACCGCAAGCCCACCCGACCCCGGTCCCGAGCCCAACCCCAATCGAAAAACGCCCTGCAACCCCTCCACCTCCCCACCGCCCACTGCCCTCTACCTCCAGCAACCCCACCCCAGCCAACGTAAACCCCCGCCGCTGCCGGCCCCCCCGCGCCCCCATCGCAACCCACCCAGCGCCGCCCAGCCCCCTGCGCACACAACCGCCGCCGCTCCCAATGCATCGAGTGCTTCGAGCTCGGCCACGGCGGCGGCTCCATCTGCATCCACCGCCGCCGCAAGGTCGGGTGCAGGCTCTGCCGCGTCGAGGGCCGCGCTGCGCAACGGCACGACGGCCCGAAGAGGCGCATCCGCGGTCCGAATACGTACGTGAACCCACCGCCGCCACCGCCACCTTCGGTGGCGCTTACGGTGGAGGCTGTGGGACGTGTACCTGGCGGGAGGCGAACCGGAGTGGATGAGACGGCGAAGGACGTTGGACGGGCGCCGGTGGAACGGCGGGTCGGTCCGTCCGTGTTCAGCGTCGAGGCGCTGTGCGGGGCGACGCCCGCGGTCGTCCCGCGAGGACTCGAGTCTCCCGCGTCCACTCCCAGATTGGGGCATGCCGGGATCGGCGACGCCAGAGGTTGAGCGGCGGGTTTTTTTTGGGAGCCTAAAGAAAACTAGCTATGAGGGGGGAATATTTTTACGCTAGCGTTTCGTCGATAACTTATTCTGTTGAAAGAGTACGTGTGTGGTGTGGTTTGTTGAAAGAGAGGTTGAAATAAAGAAAATGATCGCGCCACAGCTTTTTTTTTTTTTTTTTTCTTTTTGCCGTGTGAAGGACCAAGACAAGCAATTAGGTCAGCACTGTCAACACAGGGAAGACAGGCCAAGAGTTTTCCGCTGCCTTGATGCGAAAATGGACAATAAGCGGAAATGTCAGGCTCTGTCGCTGTTCCAACCACAGAACATGTATCCCAGGGTTGCCGCTCTTCTTCGGCTTTCCGAAACTGGCACCAATGGTGCCAGCGAGCCCAGTGACTTTTCCGTGTAACCACTTTCTTTTGGGGTTTGTCTTCTTCACCCAGGTTCCCCAGCTTCCACCCCATTCCGGGAAAAAACTGCGTTCGACTTGCCAACAACACTATCTTTTTCAAGATTGTCAAAGAAAAGGAATAATAAGTCAGAAGAATGAGGACCGCTTATCGGGATCGTGCTGCTTGCCCGAGTGTCCCCGAACTGCTAGAGACGCTGGAGAGCGCGATGCCTAAGAAAGCTTCCATTGTGAGGCTTTCCCTCAGCAGTGACCGATACGCGCGTGATTCCATCAGGTCGTGTGATCAAGCTGGCTTACCTTTTCGAGACTTTTCCTTTTTGTTGCGAAAAGGAACCTCAACCAACAATCGTTCTTTAAATAAACCCCCTTTGTCCGGCTGTATTCGCTTTCGCCCACAACCCTAACGCGTCCCGGTCTTCGGTCGTCGACCCCCGCTGCCGCCACTGCCGTCCTCGTCATCCTCGTCAACATCATCAAGAGCAGCAGTCGAGCTGTTTGCAGCCGGCGTTGTGGATCGTAGCTGAGGTGACGCGGTCGCGGGAGCTTCTGTCTTCGAAATTTTGCTCCCACGGCTCTTCCGTCGCCACACACTCACACCCACACCACATACCACGCTCCTCACCGAAAACGATTTTGCGAATGAACTGGGACGGATTGCTTCTCAACCAGAATGGTCGTGCCCCAATTGTAGCGCAGCCATGGTTTGAGGTCCGATGGTAATGACTGGTTGGGAAATGCGTCCACGCATTCAGCACTTGAAGAACGGCTTCCAAGATCGATTGTCAATGAAGGCTTGGGCCTCAACGGTTTACAGCGAGAACCACCGCGGAGAATTCTTAATTATACGTGACCCACGGTGGACGGCGCACCGTGAACTTCTGCGACCTCAACCGAGTCAGCTGAGCGAACGAGGAGAGGACGGTTGGAAATGGGCAAGTTTTGCAAGTGCAGCAAGAGGAGGCTATTGAGCCCCAAAATGCTCAAAGCCGGATTGCCCCGGCCTGGCTAAGAGAATGCATTTCAAAAGTTTTTTTCTTTTTTTCGGGTGGTTGTGGCGGGAATAGATTCCTACCATATATATGCCATACGAGAAGGAGCGCAATACAGTTTATTCATTTCTTCTCGTGTCCTCTTCGTCCTTCGGGCGTGACTCGCCTGACTATGCAATAAATATCCACAGAAAGTTCACTTGAAGGACGCGTTACAAAAGTCTGAACTTGCTCCTGGACCTGCCCATCGCTCGAGCTCCGTCAGCTTTTCGGACTGGTCGAGAGTGAAAGGTTCCACAGCGTTCGCGTCGAGGATCGCGGGTGTCGCTCAGGTGGTGGCAGGGAGGCGATCTTGAAAAACGCGTGCCACTGTGACGGAATGTGTGTTTGTGTGTGTGTGCTCCATCTCTCCCTATGGGTACCCACATTCACCATTCGTGGTGCCGTCCCTCGGTGCGTGAACCTCTCTGGCCCTGAGTGATTGCTTCATGGTCGCCAGCACACACAGGGACAACACACACACACACACACACACACACACACAAACATCCCGGCCTTCCTGCGCAAAAAGGGGTGAATGGATGCTCCTTGATGAATTTAGCCAGGGCACACCGGGAAACAAAAGGAACCTTCGAATGCGCCGGTGTCTCTCACCCCCACTGCAAAACTTGCCCACCTCTCTCTCTCTCTCTCTCTCTCAGTCATCTCTCTATCCTGTCCCTTTCCGTGTCTCTACCGTCCGTCGTGGTCAGCAGGGCACTTTTTTTTGGTTCGGCGAACAGGACAAGCCTTCGGCGAAGTTTACAGGGTACCAGACAGAATCCCCGAGACCCGAAAGGAAAGAAGAAGGAAGAGAGGGGGAAAAATGGTGGAGCCCGAAGTATAAAACGTCCATACTCCCGTCTTCCCTCGATGTCCATCAACAACCATCCCTTCGCCCAGCAGCCATGCACCTCTCCCACTTCTTCACTTTCCTTCTCTCCACCTCCTTCGCACTCCTCTCCAGCACCGCCCCAACCGAGCCGTCCTCCGTCGACCTCGGCAACGGCGCCTCGGTTACCCTCGACCAGCTCAAATCCATCATGCGCGACCCCTTCGCCGTCACGCTCTCCGACTCGCCCTACACCGTGACCGCCACCGACGGAACCTCCTACAACTTGACCCCGTCCCTTGTCGAGTCCGTGCTGGCCGGCAACGGGACGCAGGAGCAGCTGCGCGCCGCAGGCGCCGGGCTGTCGAGGCGCGGCGGCGGCGGCTGCCAGGACGTCGACTGCTTCTGCGAGTGCGAGTGCAACTGCCAGGTCGACAAGCCCGCAATCTGCACCGGCCCCGGCGTCTCCGGCTGCCTCGGCGGCGTCCACCCGTGCCTCGCCTGCGACAACCCGAGCGACAACCCGGCGTGCCACAAGTGCTACTACGGCAACTGAACGGTTCACTCCCCGGAAGGATGAATGCCCAGGCGTTTTTTCCCCTGATTTCAAGCGCGGTTCTTTTTGGAGGGATTGATTCTTTACCTATCTTGCGTATCGCTTCGTCACTGTGGTACAATAAAAATGCGACTTTTTACTTGTTCCGCCTTCTGTCCACCATGCGAGCTTGGTCGCTAAAGTCAATACTTGAGAACGCAACCGCGTGTGGAACAAACCAAATCACTGATGTAATATCAACAATAAAGCAGCACACTTGTTACGCCAAGACTCGGCCAACCACCCGCAAAACTCAGACAACCACCCCCTCCGGCAGCCCAGCTGATCGGCGAACACCACAGAGCACCCACGGTCGCAGCGATTGCGTCGCCCAGAATCAGCTTCGACAGCGACACCAACAAAAATAAGATGGTCATTGAGCACCTCCCCGTCAACCGGGGAGTTGCCGCAGCCTTAGTAGTCTTATCGAGCAAGTCACAAGGCGACAGACAAGGGGCGAACCGGGCCGGGGAAAGCCTTCAGGTAGCTGGATCCAAAGGAGGCGTCCATGACGAAGCTTGTGTTGTTTCATTCTCCCTCGGTCTCACCTTTGAGCTTTCTCTAGTTCTCTCTCGCCTTTGCTTTCTTGTGCCGGGAGCAAGAAGAACCTTGTAATACACTGTATTTCCAAACCCAGGGAGTTTAAATTGCCCAGAGAGTGGCTAACATATTTGTGCAAATCTTCTGTCGAAGGCCACTGGTAGAATCAAGCGGCATGCCCATAGTCGCCAGGTCCTGTTGAATTACCAGGCCTAAAAAGCCTATTAAAATAATTATAAAGTATTACGAAGTTTCCACTTGACAACGTGGCCGAGTGGTTAAGGCGACAGACTTGAAATCTGTTGGGGTTTCCCCGCGTAGGTTCGAACCCTGCCGTTGTCGTGAGCTGAACGTGCTGACATTGCTCAGCGAATTGCATCGGGCCGTTGATCACAGCTGCGTGGATAATTATTAGGATGACTGAAGGGGAAAAAAGAAGGTGGGGTGAATTTATTTCGCGGTTCTCACATTACCTTGTCATGGCAAGTTCGTTGGTGGCTGCGGCATGAGGCACCCCCCAGCACTTCACTCCAGCCTGTCTTTGTGGCAGGACAGAATTTGCAAAGTTACTTGATCGACACGGAGCTGACCTAGATGCGAGATGCCACTCGAATAGGACGTCGCTGGACTATGGAGCGATGCACGGACATTTGGCGACAGTGATGACACTTGTCGAGCTTGGGGCAACTGCCTCTGCTGCAATTGAATACGCTGCAGGCCGGGGGAAAATAGAGAGATGTTTCGATTCCTCTACTTGTAGAGGGTTATAACCCATCTTATACCGTTTCTGTCGTTTAGCACTGGAACGGGCTGTCTTGGTGTCGAAGTCCTTTTTTTAGCCGTGTGTTCATTGTGTCATGCCGCATGTCACAATGAACACACGGTATGCTTGTTGTTTGGACCACAACATTGATACAAAGGGGTTCCTCTAAGTCGGGCGGGACCCGTACGGAGATCACTCAACCGTCGTGAAGCCCGGACAGCGATCGTGGGCCACCAAAGAGTTCGGATTCACTTGACACACCACCCACCCATTGCACGGCAATCCCTTCCTTTCAATATAACAGCCCGTTCCGCGGAATGCCTCGCGATCGCACGAGGGCGCGTTCAACGGTGGCACTGGGTACACGGCGTCGCTCATCGGAATTAGCCAACGAGTCTCCGTGTCCACGGACGATCTCTGCAACCTCCTCGCCGCAGCTGCAAACGTTCCGCCACTCCCCAGATCCCTCACACTCACATCGTGTGCATCAACACCGCCACCTCCCAGCAGCACGGTTTGATTCCCAACAGGCAGGTACACGCTGACGCGGGCGTACTATCAAGAGTTCCGTGATGTTGCTGTCAAATGGTGCATATATGTCTGTGTGCTGCCTGGTATGGGGTTGGTTGCCAACAGTCAGGGGTCGTTTGATGCTGCACTAAAAAGGGCTATCAGCCGCCTCTCGATACGTGCGTCAAAGTCACTGGAACAAGGACCAATCAAGCCAATGGCTCGGAGGGGCGGGCAGACACGTCGCATGTGAATGGGCATTGCTCGCAACAGACGACGTTGTGGTTCTGTTCTACGTCGGTTGTCCCGTCAACACACACGCCACGCTGGCAGTTGACGACTCAGCCAGATAGGGAGAGCCGCGCAGAGGAAGCAAGAAGAGAGCGAGCTGCTGTTCTGCTGTTCGGCCAACGGGAAAACAGATTATCCGGCGTCCCGCAGAGGAGAGCTGTGTCTGTTTGCGAAAAGGGGCTTTTGGGGCGAACGCGGTCCGCGCGTACAATCAAACCAAGAATCGTGTCACAAGAAAAGAAAAAGAAGAAACAGAAAAAAAAAAGCATTTGTCATCGGCCGCACTACCACCGCACCAACACCCGCTCCCGCATACCAGAATTCAAATCTCATTTTTTAGGCACGGCATTCGGCACCAAATTCGCCCGCTCGTACCCAATTATATATATAACAAACACACATGTGGTGTCCGTCCCCCTGTCATTCTTATCCAGAAGGACAAGAAGAACAACAACCAACCACATAACCAACCAACCAACCAACCAACCGACCAATCAAACCAACCAACAACAACATCAACAACAACACCTCCCCCACAATGTTCGGCAAGGACAAATTCACGGCCGAGGACATCCCCAGGCTCGACGGCAAGGTCATCATCGTCACAGGCGCAACATCTGGCATCGGCAAGGTCTCGGCAGAGGACCTCGCCGCAAAAGGTAACTCGTAATCCGACGGTTTTAGCGCTCGCTCACTCTCCTCACCCTCCTCACCCAGGTGCGCACGTTGTGATGGCCTGCCGCTCGCAGCCAAAGACCGAAGGCGTCATCGCAGAGATCAAGAAGACGAACCCAGCCGCAAAAGTCGAGTTCATGCCGCTCGACCTGGCGAGCCTGGCGTCCGTAAAGGCATTTGCCGACGCCTACATTGCAAAGAACCAGCCGATCGACGTCTTGCTGAACAACGCCGGTAAAGATTGCTTTGGATAGCTTTTTATGGGATGTATGGGAGCCGAGTTACTCATTTCCCTTCTCCCGACGGCTCTCTACCCTTCCGCGCCCCACCTTACCCAAACAAAAAGGCGTCATGTCTCCGGAAGCCGGCTTCACCCTCACCAAGGACGGCATTGAGGTCCAGATGGGCGCGAACCACCTCGGCCACTTTTACCTCACCAACCTCCTCCTCCCCGTCATCGAGGACACGGCCCGGAAGAACGGGTCCGCGCGCGTCGTCACCGTCTCCTCGGAACTGCACAAGCCGTCAGGCGGTTTGGACCTGGAGAACGTGAACAACCCCGCTGGTGAGCGTTTGGCGGGGGAGAGTGTGTGGGCCGTCCCAGACTAACATACTTGAAAACAGCAGTACCAGTCCCTTGGGAGCTACCAGCGAAGCAAGCTGGCAAACATCCTGTTTACACGCGAGCTGCAGAAGCGCGTCGACGCGAAGGGAGCCAACATCTACGTCAACACGTTGCAGTAAGTCCGGTTTTGAGCTCACCCCGCCTCCTTTGTTTCGCCAGTAACAATACAACTTTTTTCTCTTCCACCCTTCCCCCAAAAGCCCCGGTATGGTCCAGACCGACCTTGTAAAGACATCAGCATTCGCGACGGTCCTCGGCTTGGCTTTTTCCGTCATCGCGCTCACTCCCAAGCGCGGCGCAATCTCCCAGCTGTACCTTGCGACGTCGCCCGACGTCGTGGCGGGCAAAGGGATCAAGGGACAGTACTACAACCCGCTCGCGAAGCCGGGCAAGGCCTCCGCGGAGGCTCAGGACGACAAGCTGGCGGCCAAGCTCTGGAAGTGGAGCGAGGACACCCTGAAGGAGAAGGGGTTCGCTCTGTGAGGGGAGTGTTTATTAATTCTTGACTATGGCTAGGGGTGTAGGTGAAGCGGGGTTTCCTCGTTGTCGTTTTGGCTTTCGAGCTGATCTTTCACAAAAAATTTCTTTTTCTATTTGTTGTTCAACGCCTTTCACGTTGGTCTTTCAGGGGGGCACGGGAAATCAAAGGAGGGACCGGAATTTCTTTATTTCACCGGAAAAAATAAAATAAACTACAAGTGTCCCGTTTGCGGGCCGGTTGCCAATCGCTTTTGCCGCTTGCTGCTCTTCTCCCTCTTCTTATTGCCCCATTTGGATGATCCTGTTAGAATCGGGTTCGGCCCAAATAATGCATGAATCTTCGGTATAACAGGCCACCGAGCCTCCCCACCCATCATGACTTGAACAATTCGGGCCACTGCATTGAAAAAAACGGGATGGCGACCCCGCTCATGGCGGTACGGTGCTGCCAGCACATCGAAATCCTTCAGGCAGCCGTTAACATTTTCATGATGAGATTGAAAAAGAGAGAGGGCACGTCGTAAAACTTTCTCGTTCAAAGTCTTTGCAGAACGAGTTTTTTTGATGATTTGGGGGGGGCCCCTGAAGCCAGAGTCGCCACCAATCGTTTCTCCGAGACGTAGCTTTGGAAGGAGCTCTGATTTCGCTATTGTGCGGTCGTGGTGACTTCCGCACGGGTGACCCTCTGAGACAAACACAATCTGACCGGTGCCCGTGGCCGTGGCAATCAAGTAACGTAGGCCAGGCCCATTGAACTTGTGGCTATAGTCACCAGAGTCAACTTCTTTTCGCTCGCGCGTCCGACAGTCAATACCATCAACGTACATCGTCAGCTCAGAGGTATTCCAATTTATGAAGCGATCCTCTAGTTGAATCTTAAGAAGGTTTTGTCAATGACATTTCCACAGTTGACACAACTCAAGATTCACTCACCACGTCCATTTCTGCAAGAGCATCCACTGCAATATCACACCACTTTGAGAAGGTCTTCTCATCACATCGAAGGAGTGCGGCTGCTTGGGGTTGTGTGGGGTAGCACTTGAGAAAGTAAAGGCCCCACAGAAGATGCCGTGGCTCGAACGTGACTCTCTTGGCGTGTAGTGTAGTCCAAAGGGTGGCGCAGGTTTCAGGCGGAGCACCAAAATGGCTGACAAAGCGTGTTCTGAAAGCAGACAGATGCGGAGAAAGCCGAATGATGGGCTCCGCCACAGCTTTCCAGTCGATGTCTTTGTCGTCCGATTGTTTTGGCATTCCTCTTTTCATTCTTTCTGTTTTGCGACCTGCCATCTGTTTATAATATATATATTGAAGGTAGGGCGGTGGCTCATCTGATCTCGCCACCTGTGGTCGAATGAAGATACACTCATTTTTTTTCGTGCCCGCCTGACTCTGCCCTCACCAATTAATGATACAGGAATTCTCGGCTTCCATGGTGGGTTTGGCATCACCTGACTCTACCGTTATCAATTAATGGCACCGGAATTCTCGTTTCAACCTGGCTGTCGCTTTGTTTCCTTGCCGTCTTCCAATATGGGCACTGGAAAATGTGGCGTGGAGCCAAGAAAAAAAAACAGCCTGCTGCAGAAGTGACTGCTGGAGACTGATGCTAAATTTCCGGGGAGCCACCGGAAATGATCAGTTTTGGCTGGGGTTGCAGTTTTGCACCATCAAACCACAAATCCCTTAATTAAAAGTATAGCAAAAAAGAGAAAATTCCGGTGCCTGCCCCATTTTCCAGGATCTCACTGGAAAGGTTCGAAAACAGAGGCAAGAAAAAAAGGACAAACAGTGGTGAAGGAGCAATGGGGATGAAGGTCGTTGAGAATTCGACGGTATAAATGGGCTGGGGCTCTTCTATTGGTGTATGGTTCGGAAAAAAGATAACGACAAGGAGTGGAGCGCAGCCGATTGGGAAAATCTCAGTCAACGCGCCAGGCCCTTTCCCAATCCGGAGACCATTGTCTTCAAGCAGAAAACCTCTCCGCCCAAGAAATCAAA